TCCGGGTGCCTTATATGAGTGTGAATGTCCCCAGTGCATGCCCTTCGTGTCCGAGTGTCACTTTGGCTGTGTGAGGGGGTGTGTGCAGGCTACATGTGTGGGGGCTTAAGGCTCTGAGTGTCTGTGAGCATGTGATGTGTGCATGTGTGTGCAAACACGTGAGTGCACGGAGGTGTTCTCTCTCCCCTCTGCCCATTCAGGTTTGCTCCCATCCTAAAACACCCAGGCCACGCCCACCTCTTTTCTGATTCCTGACCTCGCACCACCCTATCCGTCTGAACTACGCCTGGATGAGCGTCCCACCCTGGGTCGGCCGGTGGTGTGGCCGGTTTAGAGGGGAGTCCGTTTCCTGGTCTGCAGGGCATGGTGGGCCCCACTAGGTCCACCGTCAGCTACATCTCCCCGGGTCAACAGGCCCCTCCCTCTGCCTCCCCTGCAGGTTTCTTTAATGGAGGGAGGGGTCCTGACCTCAGAAGGGTCTGGCAGGCGAGTCTGGTGGCCTCCAGCAGGGCCGGGCAGGTGGGCCAGAAGGTAGTTGCACCTCCAGGCTTCCTTCTTCCCTGCCAGTGGCCACTGAGGAGGATGGGGGTCCACACTGCATTCTCTCAGAGTTCCCCGGGGCCCACTGTTGGGGCCTTGGGACCCCAGAGCCTCGTCCCCGCTTAGGGAGGCCTGTGGGTCAGCTTGGCCTCCCTCTTGGCCTCCTCCCTGCGCTCTCCCTTTAGGAGCCCCCAAGCCCTGGGCCTCCTCCCAAGCTCTCGCCCCGGAGCATCCACAGGCTTCTTCTGGTCTAAACCCTTTTCCTTCTCTGTCTCCTTCTTGCTGAGACAATGGTTCCTCGGAGAGCCCTTCAGCCTCTCCTACAGGTACCAGAGGATCCTTTTTCTTCAACTCACTAGAAATGGGCCCTGGCTTGTAGCAAGGGTGGCAGCCGCCCAGAGGCACGGGGCCGCTTCAGTCCATCCCCGGGCCAGCCTGCCCTTCCCTCGGTCCTGGCCAGGCACCCTCTAGCCTCAGGGTCTTTGTCCTAGTCTTTTTCTCTGTCTGGAATGTTCTTCCCCAGACCTTGCATGGCTCCTCCCTCTCCAAAAACATTTGTCAACATATCTTCTCAATGGGGCCTACCTGGCCCACCCAATTTAATCCTGTGGCCTGTGTGCGCACATGTGTGCACACACACGCACGCACGCGTGCCCTCTGGCCCTCCCAGAATGTGCCATCTCCTGGCCCTGCTCTGCCTCCCCATTTTCTCACTACACCGACCCCTCCTTACATACAACAGAACTCAGGTATTCTGTCTATCGTGTGTCCCCTGCCAGATCGCCAGCCCCACGAAGGCAGGGATCGTGTGGTATCCCCTTATATCCCCCAGGGCCCGGATGTGTGTGCAGCCAATTTCAGATGCCCCACGCACATTTGTTTTGGTTGCTGGGATGGCTGCGGAGAGAAGAGAGAATCTGTGGGAGAAGTGGTTGCTCCTCTCCCAGGCCTGTGGTCCCATCGACGGCTGGACTGTGTCCTGCCTGCCCGGGGAGGGGGGCGGGGGGAGCGGGTCCCGTTCCTTCTGCCCCACCTGCCCCCGGGGGCGCTGGGCCACGGAGCCATCCCCCCCCCCCATGGGGGCACGCTGGCACACACCTGTGCACCCGGCATCTGCAGCCCGCCACCCACCACCCGCTGACGTGGCTGTGGTTTCGAGGCCCCGGAGAGGTGCAGATTAGAGACGGAGTGTCCTGTTTTCTGCAGCGGCAGGTGGGGGCGGGGGCTGGCTCCCTGCAAACAAGCGCGCGCGGAGGTCCCTTCTCCTCCCCTACTCGTACACACACGCACACACACACACGCAGATGGACAGCCAGGGGGCCCCACCAGCTTGGCAGCTCTGCGCTGTCAGCACGGGAGCCGTGCCTCTGTCTGCACCAGGCCCTGCTGCAGGTGGCGAGAGGGGACAGAGGAAGAGGCTGCGCGATCCCCGCCCGGCGCCTGAGCTGCCACCTCATGCCCACCCTGCGTGGTCACCTGGCCTCATCTCTCAGGCCTTTCCTTTGGGGGAAGCACTGTCTTCTTTTGGCCTTCTGTCAACACCACATCCCCAGAGGAGGGGACCCCGCATTCGGCCCTCGGTGGGGGGAGCAGGGCCGCCTCCCTCACTCTTGTGGCCCATGGTGCACACAGCAGCCCGCACGACCGCCTCAGCTCCCCAGCGCCTGCGGGGCCCAGCTCAACCCCCCCGGCCCGGGCCTTCCCTGCTGCCCGAGCCCCGTGTTGAGGGGAGACAAGCGTGGCCTCTGGAAGCAGGCCTCCTGGGAGAATGTCAGCTCTGCGTGACCTTAGGCAAGTCACTTCACCTCTCTGTGCCCCAGTTTCTCCCCCCGCCCGGCAGAGCCGCTGTAGAGACAAAATAGGTTCATATATGCAAAGTGCTTAGCCCAGCGCCTGCTGTGGAGGCTGTCAGTAAATGTCAGCTGTCACTATGATGGTTTCCTGCCTCAGAGCCACCAGGGGCTGCAGAGGGCCTTGGGTCAGGGCTCGCGGCCCGGCTCTGGCCTCCCAGACTGAGCCAGCATCTTCCAGGCCCTCCGGGAGCTCCTTGGCTGGCGGAGCACCCTGGGGACACACCTCAGCCTGCAGCCACCTGTGGGACAGGAGTCCCCCGGTCTCCCAGCCACAGGCGGGTCCGCCTCCCCGTTCTCCAAGCCCCCTTGCCTTGCAAGGCGCCCCTCAGGCCACCTCCTGCAGTAAGAATGCCCGTCAACCCGGCTTCCGGAGCACCCACAGCTCCCACTTCTCAGGGCCTCGGGCTCCTCAAGTATGAGAGGGCAGAAAAACCCCGACACCACAGGATTAACGTCAGGGGAGGTCACGGACGGAGAGTGCACGGCCTTGGCAGCCAGACAGGGCCACCTCTTGTTCCTGCATGCACCCCCAAGGCTGGCGGCTCCTGCTTGCTGCGCTGGGACTCCCCACAGCCTCCGGGGGCCCAGGCTCACGTCAGGCCTCAGGAAGGAGCCGCTGCCCAGGGTGGGCTGGAATGAACAGGGGAGCCCTGGGAGCCGAGAAGGGGCCATGGTGACCGATGCTTGTGGGTGCACAGCGCTCCCCCCAAACAGAGCCTGAATGGAGGAAGAAGGAAGAGAGGCCGGGCTGAGCACACCCTGGGCCCCAGAGGAAGTTGAAAGCTGGGCCGCGGTGTGACAGTTCAAGGGCCCGTGCACCACAGCTCCTCACCCCACCTTGCCTGCTGACGTCAGTGGGAGTGCATGACCCTGCCCGCCTCCTCCCCCAGGCCCTGGATCTCTGAGGTGGGGTCCCAGCCTGAGGGCTCCCACAGCTAAGCTCTGCACAACTGGGCCCCCAGCAGAGCTTTAGTGTCTTCAGGTCAACTTTGCCCTCTCCAGGCTCCTTTAGTAAAAGGCGACCAGTTAATCGCACCTCTTCACTCACCCGCACCACCTCACATCTCTGAGGTGTGGCCCTAGAAGATATCTATTAAGCACCTACTGTATACAAGGTGGTTTCACATCCACGAGTTCATTGAATCCTTCACAATACCCTGAGGTGAATATTTATGGATAAGGAAAACAGCTCAGAGAGGCTAAGGAAGCTGCCTGAGGTCACACAGCTTGTAGGCGGCAGAGCTGACCTTCCAACTCAGGCTCCTACAGGCGAGTGAATTCGTGCTGGAGAAGATCTTGGAGAGCCAAGGCCAGTTGTTTGTCAAGGAAGAAATGGACACCCAGCGGCGGGAAGCGAGTGCCCTAGGCCATGCCCGAGGCTCCTGGCAGATGGGATTAGGGAACTTTCTTCTGGCATTAGATACCTGGCAGAGGGGCTCCACTGCGAAGCCTTCTTCTTTCACTGCCTCCAGGTCTCCACTCAGAGGCCACTTCCTTAGACAAAAGTCTGGACGGTGCTAGCTGTGAACCTGGCTTTATTCTTTGGGCCACTCACTGTCATTTGCAGTTCTATGCATCACATTATTTACTTATTTATTGTCCCCCCCCCCCCCCCCGTACCCACCTCAATTAGAATGTGAGCTGCATGAGCTCAGGGAGTGTCTCTCTTGTTTCCTTGCATGGAATAGTACCTGGCACAAACTCAACATTTTTTGTGTGGGGAATGGATGAATGACTGAATGAATGGAGTCAGATGATAAAGGACGAGGTTTATGCTTTATGGGGGAAAGTTTAGTGTAATGATGAACTTATTAAGGGCAAACCAAATAGATGATTCTAGGTGGAGGAGGGCAGTGAGAAGTAATTTAGGAAAAAGAAGGGGCAGGGCCAGCATGTGCAGACACGAGGTCTGGCACATAGACTGTAAAGTGAGTGGTGACCCCTCCAGTTGTTCAGTTCTCAACCTGGACAACAATACAAGCTGACTCTGGGGACGGGAGGAACATAACGGTTTGGGCCCCCTCAGGAGATGGGCGGGGTGGGGAGGGAGCGAGGAGTCAAGGCCGCTCAGCAGGTGCCTGCAGCAGGAGGAACAGGCTGTACCCACCACGAGGGCGCCACGTGGTCGCGGTTAGCAGTTTGCCATCCGGTGGCATCGTCTCCACAGTCGGTCGTCCGACCAGGGGGAGCAAGCGCTCTGCTGTTAGCAGCCTCCTGTACCTGGAGCGCCCCATGGGATGCGGGTGGGGAAATCACCCCGGCACACCCCACGAGCACACACCAGACGCCCGGGGACGGAGATTATCACCACGGCGGGAGGGAGGGCTGTTTCCTGAGCCAGCGCGGATCTCTGAAGGCAGAGGACACGGTGTTCTGGGACCTCTCCACTGAGCAGAGGACCCAGGGAAGAGCCCGGCCGGGCCCCCTTCCTCCCTCGGCCTCCAGGCCGGGCACAACAACCATCACCCTGTGATTGTGGGGCCTGTCTTCGATGAGTCACCTCGCCCACAGCGCGCCTTGCGGGGTGATGTTATCGGCCCCTCTGCTTACTTAATTCCCTGGTTGACATCACCGCTGCCCGGTCTTCCCCTTCTCGGCATTGCAGCCTGCAGGCTAGCATATCCTGGAAGAGAAGGCGGTAGGGGATCATTTGCCAAGAAGCTACCGGGGCAGGTAAATGGGGACCCTCGGTCGCTTGGCTGTTAGCACCGAGGTGCTTGGCCTAGTTTCCTGCTTTGCTGGACAGGAATCTCAGTCTACTTCCCAGGAAACGCTATCTGGAGTCTGTATTTCGGGGCGTGGTCCCCAAGGCCAGCTGTCTGCTGGCTCAGGCATGTGCTTCTAAGTTCCGCCTCTTGCAGACCTACCTGTGATGGGCCCAGGATCCCCCGGCCCCAGACTGGGCAGCTGCTGGCCTTCTGCCCGCCTCCCTGTCCAGCCATGGTGCCCAAGACCCAGCTCCCTCGGAGGCCCAGCTCCTGCCTCGCTGCTCCACTGCCCGCACTCCTGAGCAGCCTCCTGCGAGCCTAGGCCTGTCCTCTGCTGCAGCCGAACATTCCCTCTGGCCTCCCCTGACCTTGTCACCCTTGCCAGTGCTTCCCCGTGGTCAGTGGCACATGGAAGGTACCATGGAGTTGGCAGAGCGGCGAGGCTGGGAGGCGCAGTAGGGGCCCCACTCAGGCCACCAGGGCAGGACCTCGGTCCCCGATGGAGGCCGTCCCAGCTTGGCAAGTGAGGGAGGCAGTGAAGGGAAGTGGGTGGGGCTGCGCAGGGAGCAGAGCCAACCCTTTGAACTGCCCAAGCAGCATCCTCTGCGGCCCCAGGGGACAGCGCCTCAAATGTCACTGCCAGAAGCCAGGGAAGGGGGTGGGAGGAGGTTGCTCAACACCAGTCACTTTTATACGAGTTATGTGACCAAACTGAATTGTTCTTAGAAGGAAAAAGAAAAAACAAACAAAAAACCTCAAAACCCACCACTGAGGTCACCCTTATTACCCCCAGCAGCTAATGAGCCGATCCTGAGAACAGATAATGGGCCCAAGCCACGGCTAGCGCTCCCCCGCTCACCCCGGTGGCCAGAAAGAGCCAGCAGGTGGCCTGGCCACTCTGCACCCAAGCCCTGGCTGCCTCTAGGGTCCTGGAATATAGAATGCCGTTCCAGGGTGGGCTTAGAGAGCGACCTGGAGAAGCAAGCCTGGGCTCAGCCCCTAGTCTCTTTGGGCCTCTGTTTCCCCACTGACAAATGGAGGAAACCACTGAGGGGTCAAGGGGATAATAATGGTGGAAACGCCGAGCAGCGTTCCCAGAGGCGGAGGTCCTGCAGAGAAGGGAACGGGGAGTCCGGAAGTTTCAGAGAAGAGGACACACCTCAGTGATTGAAGAACATTATATCAGTTGACTCCTTCTGCTCTTGAATCCTTTAGGTTTCCCTTAAGTCGTGACTTGAATTCTTATTAATGTTGTCAGGGAGGTGCACACCTTGAGAACGATGGATACCATTGGTGAACTTAGCCTGTGGTCTGCTCAGACCCCCGGATCCTTTTTCAAGTTCGAGAATGCAGGGTCCACTAGTTTAGTCTAGTGGGTGTTCTGCTGTAGTACTTCCCTCCTAGGCCACAAACCAAGCTCAAATTCTAGTCAACCCTGACTGCTTTCCTTAGCTGGGGAGTATAGCCTGCTTCTGGCTGTAGTTTGAGCCCTTATCCCTCTTTTATCCTGAGCCCAAAGCTCACCTCCCCTTACAAAGCCCAGACACACGTCAAACTCATTTATCCCAGACTGAGCTTGTCTTTCTCTCAGCAGCCTCTTTCCTGCAGATCTTAGTTCATGGTACGACTCCCCATCGTGCAAGCCAGAGGCTGAGTCATCCTTGACCACTGCCTTCTGTCCATCGCATCAGATTTGCCATCTCATCTTGTGGATTCTAACACTTGGGTATCTTGCATTTTTATCCTTCCCCTCCCCCCACCCGCCATTTCTGTAATAGTTTAGATACTCATCTCTGTCCTTAAGAACATCTCGTAGAACCATGTAGATCTCCTGGGCCCCCCTCCGCACAGCTGCCGGGAGGGCCGCCTGCCGATGGAGCCCTCCCCTCCGGGAGGCTCCCGCCAGGCTTGCCGGCCTCGTGCCCAGGACAGGGACAGGCCACGTGCACGCTGGATGCGGCTGGGCTGAAACCGCTCACGTATGTCTGCTCAGGGTGCCGAGAATGTCTTTCTCCCCCTTGTCAGCCTGGAGGGCGCCCTCCTCCTCCAGGAGACCTCCCAGACTGCTGCGCCTGTGTTGCTTCTTCCTCAGTGCCCCGCTCTCTGCCCGTTGCGTGCTAGTGTGCCCTGGCCTGCGGTGCCTCCACGGCTGTGCACTCATCTTCATCCTCACCGCCCAGACCCTGATTCCACCAAGAGAGCAGTGGGTAGGCACCAGGCGGACCTGGGTGGTATTCGGTTCTGCCCCGTCCCATGGGGACATGGGACAAGTTATTTGTCTCTGAGCTTTCCTTCCCGTCAATCAAACGGGGTAACCCCTCTACCTGCTTCTCAGGATGGGTAATCGAGCCAGTCAAGGGCTTGGCTCAGAGCCTGGCACAGCACAAGAGGGTAGCAAATGGCACCCACAGTCTCCAGGGTCGCTACCCCTTACAAAGACGTAGGAAACCGTGCTGACACCTCAGCCCTCCTGTCCCCTCCCTCGAGCTCCCCTTCAGCTCAGCCCCTTCGTTCTCTCTGCCTTTGTTCAGACCCCTCTGTTCATTTTCTCTCTGGCTGTCAGCTCTCTGCACCTGGACAAGGTCTTGGGCAATGCTGGCCTGGTCCCCCTTTTGCCAGCCCTTCCTCCCAGGACTCCTCTCCCCCCTCCCGCTGCAACTGCTGTCCACGTGGGGCGGCGATGCTCAGTGTCTGAACTGTTCTCAGCCTGGGGGCGGTGTGGCTGCTATGCTCCTGTCACACAGCGCGGTGGCAGTGGCGTGCTCAACAAGGCCCCGGAGTTTGCCCCCAGCCATACTGGGAGTGCGTTGCTGAACTGGCCAGCTAGTAAACCCACGTCTTCTGGCTCCAAAGCCAGGACTCTAGGGATGGACTCTGGTGCCATCCCTTTCAGTCTTTTTTGCATCTATGTGACTCAGTCTCCTCATCTGCAAAATGGGCACAATAATTCCTTCTTCTTCTTCCTCTCAAGGGGAGAAGGGGAGAATGGGGTTAATCTGGGAAGGAGCTGGAGACCCTGCTGTGTACAAGGCAGGCGAGCCTGGCTGAGTGTGTATGTGTGTGGGGGGGGGGCGCGGGGGGTGCACATAACAGGACAGAACAGGTTGGGGAAGCTAGTCCCTCCAGCACCCTTCCAGCAGCCCAAGCCCTGTGCCTGAGTCCACAGTGCCCCCTGCTGGCGAGTCATCCCAGAAGCTCCCTGTGGGCAGCACCAGCCTCCCGCTTTGCTTTTCCTGAAGGCGACCCCAGGGAAGGTGTCGCCCCTGCCCTCAGGGTGCCCAGTCTGAGGGAAGGGAGGCACCCAGTGGCTCAAGAAGCCCAGATTGGGGATGGGGAGCCAGTGTGAGATGGGAACTTCCTAGGTCACTGACTTCCCCCTTCTCTCCCATAAACCCACTGAAACCTCTTCCAAAGAGAAAGGTCTGCGGCTGGGCAGAAGCCGCAAGAAATGGTTTGCCCCGAGCCCAGCAGCTATCCCTTGATTAGGACTTTGTGCTACCAGCACCCCCACCCCCATGGACCATCTGGGGAGACATTAGATGAGGGCAGGCACTGGGGAATGGAGGGGAGGGGCTGGTGGGCCCCAGCTTGCGCTTGGGCTGGACCCCCTCATCAGCGCCCTCACCATCCAGACACATGCTCCCAGCACGGCAGAGCCCAGGCACCCCCTTCATCTCTCCAGGTCCTAACTCCCCGTCACTGCAGCCTCGTGATCTCAGCACCTCCTGAACCTGATTCTGGGTTGGGTGCTGGTGCTTCAGGGACAAGCGAGGCCCTGACGGGCCCCCCCGCAGGAGCTCAGACATGCCACCCCTTCTCCCATCTTCCCCTGCCCATTCATCCCCAGCACCCCAGCCCCTCCCCTGGTCTGGAGGAGGGCCGCCATATATAACACTCCCCAGACTAAGATCCAGCCAGCTGTGACCACCTCTTCTGGAAAGTCTCCGCCATTCCCCACCCTGGGTTCTGCTCACTGCTTCTGAGACTTTTCCCTCAAACTGTGATCTTCCCAGACTGCCAATATAAAGCTGAGATTGCATTCTTCCTCCTCCAGGAAGCCTTCCTGGATAAATCCCAGCCTCGAGGATGTTTCCCTACTTCAACCTTTTGCATGATCTCCTGGCACACACTACATTGTCCTGGGCATGTTTATTATTCTGTCTGCCCCATAGGAGCTCCAGGCCTCAGAGGGAAATGGCTAGGTCCCCTTTCCTTGAACCCTGGCAAGACCATACATGCTCCTTTAAGTCCACATAAACCAGTGATTTTCCACTGGGCATGGTTTTGCCCCCAGGGGACGTTGGGCAACGTCCAGAGAGAATTCTGGTTTTTGTGACCAGGAGAAGGGTGCACTGGCGCCTGGTGGGCCGAGACCCGGGATGCTGCGAGCCATCCTACGATGCACCAAACTGCCCCATGACAAAGAACTATCCTGCCCCAAATGTCAACAGCGTTGAGGTTAAGAAGCCCTGATTTAAGTGAATTCACACACTGGGTATTCAAATAGTGGCCAAGAAAGGGGGAATGGCTCGTGCAGGAGGAGGGGGCAGAGAGCAGACATCTCAGAGCAGCTTCCCCTCCGCGTGGCCTTTTCAACCCCACACGGTTTGGGTGTGTCTTACATAAGTGGAGGCAGCCCTTAGCCAGAGGAGGAGGAGCCAGCGCCTGTCTAGGGGAGCCACGGGGACGGGGGTGGGGAAACCCTTTGGGAGCACGGAGTAGCTTGGCCTCAGCTTAGTCATCTGTAGAATGGGGATGGGTGTTCCCTTCTAGTTCTAAAGGTTGAGGGTCCTAAACCACGCTTCTCGATATAGACAAGTCCTTTTCCCTCATGCTGATGGGCAAGAGCCCTCCCTGAGGGAGGAGAAGCAGTCATCAGTCCCTTAAACAGATGTGGGGGGTTATTGTGGCTTTGATTGCCCTCCCAGGAGCAGCTGTAAGAACAAGAATGCTTTGATAGGCTTCATCAAAGCTGACTGGGGGGGTGGGGGCAGCCTTCAGCTGGGAACAGCTGTAAGTCAGGCCCCCACGCAGAGGTGGAGGCTGTGAAAGGTGCCCCCCACTTTGGTTGGGGTTAAGAATGTTCCAAAGACTGCTTACCCTGAGCCGGCCTTCTCTAGAGGCTTCTCAGGGTTCTCTGCGCCCTCCCTGGGTGGGCTTGGGTGACCCAGGCCCTTGGCGGTGGAACAGAGGCAGCTCTTTCACTGGCTCCTATTCCCTGGGGCAGGGTCCCCACGGGGTGGGGTGAGGCCAGCCCTCCCTGCCCCCTCAACCCCGTAGAGTCTCTGGGTCCTGGTAAGCGGGGAGGGAGGGCACCCTGAGCGAGTCTCTCTCAGAGCTCACAGACCTGCCTCACAGGGATCCAAAGCTGTCAGGAAAAGGCTTGGTCTTTGAGGAGAACAAACAGGAACCCAGGCTACCTTGAAACCTCTCCGCCAGACGCACCCACAGCATTGTCCACAGTGAAAACTGTTGCACTTACCGCACAGCCGGCACCCCTACCCAGCGTACACACAGCATGCCACACACACACCCAGCTGAGCGCAAATTGTGCACACTAACTGAAGACAGCGGGGACAGAGCCAATCTCGGCCGCGTCCCTAGCCGTCCTAAAAGTGGGTGCTCATCCCGAGCCTCAAATGTCCAAGGGAGTTCAGCTAAAGCTTCTCCCGATCCTGCCTCTTCAAGCTGCTAAACAGAACAAAACAAAACAAAACCCTGAACGTGTATCCAAAGACCCTTGTTTTTCACAGAGTGCTGAAGCAGTAGATTACCTAAGAGCTGGACTTTTGAAAGATGTTACCCCAAATGGTGACGATAATGATGGCGGTGGTAACTGCAATCATGACTGTCGGCGTTTATTGAGGACTAGCTGTCCCCTAGGAACTATGCTCTGCGCTTTACGTACACCCTTCATTCAACCCTCGCGACAGCCGGTAAGGTAGGAACTGACAGTGTGCCCATTTACAGGAGAGAAGAGTGAGGCTCAGGGGAGGTGAATAAACGTAGAGACGCCAGCATCAGAACTCAGAAGAGATCAGGCGGACTCGTGGTGGGCAGCCTGAGGGTGTGGGTCAGTGTGCATGTGGTCAGTGCCTGCCACAGCACCCCCTTTCGGGAAGACCCCCCAAATATGCTCTCACTCACCCTGCCTGAGCTGCCATGTGGCTCTTGCGTTAAGCATTACCCCCTGACGTCCTTCCCCACCAGAGTGGAGTGTGTGGTCAGACCAGGGGGTTCTGGGGCCTGGGGTTTGGCTTCTGGAGAGATAGTCCGGAGTTGGGGGGCGGGGAGGGTGCGCGACTTGATAAGAGTATTGTCACAGGAATGAGGACATTGTAATGAGGACATTTCGGAATTGATAAATAGTGCCCTCTTATAGGATATCAGCTCTGTCCCCAGTTTGACCGATTGCTAAAGCACAAGGCTGAGCTTCTCTAGACTCTCTGCATTCCAAGTATTTGACACTAGCATTAATCCTGAACTCCCTGTGCATCAACGCTTTTAGTTTTTTATTTTTATTTCTTCCAGTTTTACTGAGAGATAATTGTATTAGTTTCAAGCTGTAGAAGTTCAAGGGGCACAGCAATGATGGGATATATGTATATATTGCAACGTGATTACTACATTTAGTTAAGCTCCATCAGCCTTACGTAGCTACATATTTTCTTGTGGTGAGAACTTTCCAGACTTACTCTCTTACTAGCTTTCAAATCTCAGTCACTGCAGTTGCCATGCTGCACTTTGTATCCACAAGACCCATTTTTTTTATAACTGAAAGTTTACACCTTCTGACCACCTTCGCCCAATTGTCCCGCAGCCCCACCCCCTGCCTCTGGTAACCGTAATATTCCATGTTTCTATGGATTCTGGTTTTTTCAGATTCCGTCTACAAGTGAGACTATACAGTGTTTGTCTTTCTCTGTGTGACTTGCTTCACGGGGTCCTGGTTCTGAGAGGGGCCGTGGCCACCTCCAGAGTGAGGCCAGGAAGAAGGAAGGACGGTGTGTCCGAGCTAGAGCTGGGTTTTGTCTCCATAAGGTAAGAGAACATAGGGGGGGAAATGCAGGGGTGGGGGAGGGGGAAGCATAAGGAACTTTCTGGAAATCTGTGCCTTTTGCCTTCTTTCTGAACTTCCCTTCTCCCCGTCACCCCTCCTCCCACCCCGAACCGAGGATCCAATTTCCTCTTTTTTTTTCAAAATACAACTCAAAACAGATTTAATCTCGAGGGATTGTTCTGTGAAGGAAACCTGTAGAGGCAAGTTGTCTCTGAACTTGTAAGGGAAATATATATATATCTCTGGAGTCTGGAAAGAAAAAGTCCATTTGGCACATGAAGCCGCCTGCATCTCTGGCCCCGGGCCCCCTGTGTCCTGCCTTCTGTAGTCATCGGTGAGGGTCCTGTCTCGGGCTTGGTGGATCTTTCCTCCCCCCACCACCATGGGGACTCTTCAGAAATAACCACATGGCAACGCTTAATCTGGTAGGGGCCCAGCACCCTGTGACCCATGGCGGAGACTAAGAAGGCAGATTCCAGGGGCGCCTGGGTGGCTTAGTCGGTTCAGTGTCCGACTTTCGCTTAGGTCATGATCTCACGGTTCGTGGGTTCGAGCCCCGCGTCGGGCTCTGTGCTGCCTGCCGGCTCGGAGCCTGGAGCCTGTTTCAGTCTGTGACTCCCTCTCTCTCTCTGACCCTCCCCTGCTCACGCAGTCTCTCTTTCTGTCTCCTAGAAATAAATAAAACATAAAAAAAAAAAAAAAAAGGCACATTCCTGGGCCTGCTTCCAGATGAACATATTGGAATCTCCTAGAAGCCCCTGGAGCAACCTCGGTCTGCCAGCCAGTGGTCCTGCTTGCCGTGCTGGGTGCTGGGGGCCTCTCCTACCCGCTGCTTTCACAGACCGGCTTTTGCAAGGGATTCAAGCTCCTGAGAACTGCCTCCTGATGTGTCGGTCACTCTCAAGTGAGGTCACATGTGACGGGATGGGTGTCGTTCTGTGTGTAAAACGTGTGCCCGCCTCTGGTGCCAGGTGCAGTCAGGGCACAGGGGGACGCAGGGTGACCTGACATGTGGCGTCCCAGCCTGCACCTGAGTGCCGTAGGAACGATGCTCCCTGACCTCCCGTCGCTCAGGGCCATGGATGCGAACAGATGGTCCCACCGAACACCTGGGCCTCCCAGCCTTCTGGGACAAGCCATCTGTAGTCCAGCATGGGCCACCTGTGTCGGTGGGCCTCCTGCTTGGAGTCACCAGGCCACCACTTCCAAGCTCTCTTGTGAGCAACATCAGTACGTCAAGGAATGTGATAAAGCGCTCTTCCCCAAACACACACAACGAGCAATATTTACCTTTACAATTTACTCTGGAAAAAAAAAATGTGTACAGAAAGTGATAAAAATTCAAACGTGCTTATTGCCCTGTGAGATTCCGCCTTTGCCAAATGAGATGCTCTCTTCGGAGATGCCAGGATTTCACGCTGGGGCACACTCATCACAGTATGCTGTGATGGACGGAGAGACCCGACCAGAGGCGGGACTGGTGTCCTCTCGTGTGTTGGGGGGCTGTCACACTGCGGGCCCCCACAGGTGGGCCCGTGTGATTAGAAGCACGACGGAGGTGTAGATCTGACAAGTGCTTGCTTCTCCTCTTGGGCCACTCTGGGGGAAGCAAGCCACCAGCCTGTAAAGAAGCACAGGTAGGCTGGGGAATGAGGGGATAGCGCCTTGTGGGGAAGCTGAGGCACCAGGCGCTTTAGCTGGTGTTCCTGAACTTTTCAGCCTAGCCCAGCTGAATGAGTGTGCTGGAGAAGAACCTTCCAGCTGAGCACTGCCCAAAACCCTGACCCACACAATTGTTGCAGTATTAGGCCACTACGTTTTGGGGTAGTTTGTTACACAGCAATGGTTAACCAAGGCGCTTATAGGAGGCGTGTAATAAACGTGTATGGAATGAGGGAACGGCGAATCACAGTGCTCATCCCTGACACTGGTCCTGCATACTCATTAAGTCTGTTTTGTTTTGTTTTGTTTTAATGTTTTATTTATTTCTGAGAGAGAGACAGACAGACAGTGTGAGCAGGGGAGGGCCAGAGAGAGAGGGAGATACAGAATCTGAAACAGCCTTCAGGTTCTGAGCTAGCTGTCAGCACAGAGCCTGATGCAGGGCTCGAACCTGCGAACCGTGAGAGCATGACCTGAGCCAAGGTCGGACGATTAACAGACTGAACCACCCAGACTCTCCTCATTAAGTCTTGATCACATGTACTTTCTGATGGGATTCTTGTAACGGTTAATTTTATCTGTCAACTTGACTGCCGGGGCCATGGAGTACCCAGATAGGTGGTCAAACATTATTCCGTGAAAGTATTGTTGAATGAAATTAACATTTAAATTGCTAGACCAGTAAAGTAAATTGCCCTCCATAGTGTGGGTGGGCCTCGTCCAATCAGTGAAAGACCTGCATAGAACAAAAGGCTGACCTTCCCCAGCATAAGAGAGAATTCTCCTGCCTGATAGCTTTCCAACAGGGACCTCAGCTTTTCTTGCTTCTGTGCTAGCCTGCCAGCCTTCCACAGATTCTGGATTTGCCAGCCCCTGTAATTATATAAGCCAATTCCTTATACTAAATTTCTTTATCTGTAGACACGGGTATAGACATACAGTTATATTCTGTTGGTTTTGTCATGTTGGAGAATCATGAAAAGTATAGCTTATGGTACCAAGAGTGGGTGCTGCTATAACAAATACCTAAAAATGTGGATGTGGCTTTGGACCTGGGTAATAAGGAAAGGTTGGAAGAGTATTGAGGGACATGCTAGAAAAATCCTAACTGCCTTAAAGGGACTGTTGGTAGGAATATAGACATCAAAGGTGCTTCTGTTAGATTCTCAGGCGGAAATGACCAAAGTGCCAAAAGGAAAGGCAGTCATTGTTGTAAAGTAGCAAAGAATTTGGCTGTTTTGTGCTCTAGTGTTTTGTGGAAGACAGATCTTATGAGTGACGGTCTTGGATATTTAACAGAGGATTTTTTCTTTCCTTTTTAAAAATGTTTTATTTTTACTTAAAAACATTTTTTAATGCTTATTTATTTTTGAGACAGAAAGAGACAGAGCATGAGCAGGGGAGGATCAGAGAGAGAGGGAGACACAGAATCCAAAGCAGCCTCCAGGCTCTAAGCCGTCAGCACAGAGCCCAACACGGGGCCCGAACTCACAAACAGTGAGATCATGACCTGAGCCGAAGTCAGACACTTAAATGACTGAGCCACTCAGGCGCTCCTATTTTTACTTTTCAAAAACATATTTTAAGTTTATTTATTTATTTTCAGAGAGACAGAGACAGCATGAGTGGGGGTAGGGCAGAGAGAGAAGGGGAGAGAGAGAGAGAGAAAGAGAGAGTCCCAAGCAGGCTCTGAGCTGCCAGCACAGAGCCTGATGTGGGGCTTGAGTTCACAAACCGTGAGATCATGACCTGAGCTGAAATCAAGAGTCAGACACTAAGCCAACTGAGCCACCCAGGCGCCCCTATTTTTAGTTTCGAGAAAGAGAAAGAGTGTGCAAGTAGGGGAGGAGCAGAAAGAATGGGGCAGAGGACCCAAAGCGGGGTCTGTGCTGATAGCAAAGAGCCCAATGCAGGGCTTGAGCTTACAAACAGTGAGATCATGACTTGAACCAAAGTTGGAAGCTTAACCAACTGAACCAACCAGGTGTGCCATAGCAGAGAATTTTTTCTAAGCGAAGTGTCAGAGGGGTGGCCAGGTCCCTCCTTGCTGCTTATAATAAAATGTGAGAGAAGAGAGAGAGAGAAATCGAAAGAGTTTTTCAGCAAAAGGGAACCAGGACTTGACAGTTCAGAAAATCCTTAGCCTATCCACATTGCAAAGCAAGAAAGTGTGTTCTGGAGAAAACACCTAGGATGTGGCAGGACTATCATTCTGTAAAGACGACCTGCAAACTGATCAGCCACCTCAGCTGAAGCCAGGAATAGAGCTGGGATTTTACCCGCAGAGGCATTGCCAGCGGCCAAAGGGGACAGAGAACATGGAAAGAGTTCTGGGATCAGAACCGTCAGATTCTGGGATCTACAGGTCAGGGCTATACAGGACCCACCCTCAAACATGGCTGTCCTTCTGGAAAGGGAGAAGTGACCATGAAGGTGGTTTAGAGATATCAGAGCCATCATTTCCACCTGCAGCCCAGGGAACAAGACTCTTTCCTCCTGGCCTCAGGGGCTGGGGCCACCTCCTCAAGGTCAGGGGGCCAGGATTCCGGCCCGGAGCTGAAGGGGCAGGGCCGTGCTGAGGGCCATGGGTGGGCACGGAGGGTACAACACTGAGTGAAAGAAGACTGACGTGGAGCCTTAAGATCAAATGGAATCTGCCTTGTTTTGCACTTGCTTGGGAACTCTTTCCCTGTCCTTCTTCCCAATTTCTCCCTTTAGGATGGGAACGTATGCCTTCTGCCAGTCCCCCCATTGTGATCTGGAAGCACGTAACTGGTCTGGTCTCACAGGTTTGCAGCTGGAGAGGAATTTTGCCTCAGGATGACTCATACCTCGGGTCGCACCCATACCTGATTTAGGTGACATTTAGCGAAACTTGGGACGTGGAATTGATGGATGGGTTAAGACTTAGGGGCCGTTGGAATGGGGTGAATGTATTTTGCATGTGAGAACGATGGGAATTTGCGGGCTAGATGGCAGACTGTTATGGACTGAACTGTGTCACTTCCCCCGCCAAAGTTGAAGACTAACCCACCATCTGACTGTATTTGAGAAGGGGACTTTAAGGAGGTAATTAAGGGGAAATGGGGTCAAAAGGATGGGCTTTCTCTAATGAGCGCTCCCTCTAGCCTCAGGTGCACAGAGAAGAGTCCATGTGAGAACCCAGCAAGAAGGTACAGCTGCAAGCAAAGGAGATAGGTCTCACCAGAAACCACATCTGCTGGTACCTTGACTTTGGACTTCTGGCCTCAAGACCTACGAGAAAATAAATTTCTGTTGTTTAAGCCACCCAGTCTGCGGTCTTCTGCGATGGCAGACGAACACGGTTCCTCACGCTGTTGGTGAGGGAGGAGCCGTGCACGCTTGGATTTCAACCTCAGTTTTCATTGACTGACTCCCTCAGCCACTCCTGAAGTTCTAGTATATGTCAGACACCATACAGGCACTGGGTTTCAATGGTCACAGTGCTGTCGTCATGGAGCTTAAAGTCACAGAAGGGAGATGCACCTTCACCAAATAACTACTCGAACAGACATAAAATAACAACAGGGGCGAGTGCTGCAGGGGGATGTCACCTCATCAAGGAGGCCAGGGACAAGTTCTTGAAGAAGGGACAGCAGACCTGAGACATGAAGGGTGATGAGGAGGAAACCGGGTGAAGAGGGAAGGCGCACGCAGAAGGAACAGCATGTGCGGAGGAGGCGCCCACCAAAGAGGGAGGTGGTGAGCGTTCAGGGGACTAGAAGTGTGCCCTGAGCGGCATAGAGAGAGAGGCACAGGAGGATGGGGTTCGGGACGAGGCTGGATCTCTCCAGCTGGGTCGCCCACGGCCAGAGCAGTAGAAGCCACCAGGCTCTTTGAACCTTGGGTTTGGCGTGGTCAGATCTGCATTTCCCAAAGACGCCCGTGGCCGCTGGGTGGAGGAAGATCTGCGTGGACACCACGGAGGAGGCTGATGCAGGAGACCAGGGGAGGCACGTGGAGGGCTTGGACCGGACTGGCAGCTCCAGAGGTGGCGGGACGGGCTGGACTGGGGAGCTATCTATGAGGGTAAAATAAGTGGGCTTCGGGAGATGCAGGTGAGGGAAAAGTCAGCCCCCACCTGAGTTCTTGGAATCGGGCTCCTCGGTGGGTAGTGGTGCGGTTCACGAGCGAGAGAAGACGGGGAGGCAAGGTGGGGCGACCAAGTCAGGAGTGAGGGCAACTACTTACTAATGGGGTGAACGTAGGCAGGTTACTCTGAAACCTCCGCATGCCTCAGTTTCCCCACTGGGATAAGTACTCTCCGTGAGGTGATGTGTGTAGAGCCCAGCTCGGAGTAGCTGCTCCTGCGTATCAGTGCTTCCTGTCTTTTCCTCTGTAAGGCTGGAGTCTCGCCCAAAGTTGCGCATCGTCGGAACCAGGCTTACAGAGGGGTCGTGGGAGGAGCCTCCCCCCTTCGCCCGGCTGCCTTTAACATCAACACGCAGATCTAAGAGCAGACAGTGTTCACTCACCACTGGAGGCCTGGGGTGGGGCGGGAAGAGGGGGCAGAGTGCAGGTGGGAGATGCAATGGTGGGGAGGGGAGAAGAGAGTGCTGGAGTGAGAGCAGGCCCACAGTCCTTAGAGGGGCAGGCAGTTAAGCACCAAATTCATGCAGTAGCCAACTTCCAACACGCAGGATGTTCACAGAGTTCAGTTTCTACTCACGTAAAGCCCAAGATGGGTGCTCTGACTGGCAGGCAGCCTTCCTCCAAGGGGAGAGTCGCACACCTAGGCTCCTTCTCTCTCTCTCGGGGCTCCGCCATCTTTTGACCAGGCGGTCACGGCAGAAGGGGAAAGAAAGGTGGATGAGGCGTATCTGCTTCTTAATGTCCTCAGCTCAGAAGAGAGGCCCACTGCTTCTGCTCACACTCCACTGGCCACCCTCGATGGCATAGGAGTGGAAATGTAGTCCCAGTGGGTGCCCAGGAAGACGACGACATGAGTTTGGTGACCAGCTTCCCAGCCCTGCTACAGTAGGTCTGCCACAGCTTGTCCAAGAGGTGGGGTGCACTCTGGCTCTAGTGGAATTTCCCCCGGATGGGAGAGGACTGGCCATGGGGTAAGGAGGTTGAAGGGGCCAGGCTTGATCCCAGTACCCTCGCTGTTGGTTGGCAGGGGGGCCTTGATGGCTGCACGCTCAGGGGCTACAGAAACAGCCTCTAGCCAAGGCCGATGGGAAACCTGTCCTGAGCTCCTTAAGAGAGCTGGTGAACAAAACCCCCTTGTACGACACCTACCAAAACAGTTGTGGGCTGGCAGAGAGAAGGGCGTTGTGAACCTTAATTGAGTGGCCCCAATGAGGGGAAGGGACATTTGAGCAAAGACATGCGGATGCCCAATCATAAGGATATCTGTGGAAGGGCAAAAGGAGCAGCAAGTGCAAAGGCCCTGTGGTAGGGGCAGGCCTGTTGTGTTCAGGGCCCTACTGCAATAATCACTGAGATGATGGTGATAGCAGTGTGTGGGGGCAAGGGGAGAAGTGGTTAGATTCTTGATCTATTTTGTATGTTTATCCCTCCTTACCTCACTTCCTTCCTTTTTCAGTTTTCTAGAAGGGACGTGTGAAGACACACTGAGGCGTTTCCTCATCTAGATAGTAGTGCCCTTTCTAGACTGTAAACCCTATGAGGGCAAGGCCCCGGGCCCAACTCCTCTCCTTACCCTCACACCCAGCTCGGGCAGGGCCCATGGCCGGCGCCTGGCAGCCTGTCTGTGGAGAGATGCACGTCTTCCTGAGTCATCAGAGTTCATGGGGCCGAGCCCAGGCCCTGCCTGTCAGCACACTGCTCACTGGTGTGGAAAGCTTTCCTGTGGTCCAGGCACTCCCAACTCCGGTCCAAAGAGACCTTCGAAAGAAGGTCAGTGTAGCCAAAGGAAGGAGATGCCCCCGTGTCCTGAGCTCACAGCAATAACTGCTGGGAAGACAACCTCACCGGTTCTATTTTATCCTGCGTGGATCAAGAGGCTGGCTTCCGAGGAAGTGACACAGGCACAGATGGCTGTGCCCAGCAGGGATCCCTGGCTCCGCACTCCCACAGTGCTGGGCTCTGGACCGCAAGCGCCCTGACTCGTGGGTGGGACCCCCAGTGGTTTTTGAGGGGCGTCTTGAGCTTGTGGTGGGTGCCCGTTCCTAGCTGCCCTGCAGCCTTTCTTTAAGCCGGGCCCTTCCCTGCAACACCCCTGGCCCCCAGCTCCCCCAGGAACTCGGGAACAGCTGATGTTTACAATCCCACAGGCCCTGGATTGGAGAGGACTTCGAGAAGCCCCTAAGGTCTTGAAAACGTTGCTGCAGGCTTCCGGCTGTCTCCAGAATCGCATTCGGGGGGTCATGTGTTTCCTGTGCTCTCCTGCCACAAATTAACTGCCTTTTCACTTTTCCCACAGATTTCGTCTCCCGTCCTACGTGGCCGGGCCGGGTATTTCTCGGTGCAGCGGCTACAAACGTGTGGAGGCTGGAATCGGACAGATTTGAGTGCAGATTTCTGTGCTCACTGGCAAAGACCTCCGAGCCTCAGTTTCTTCATCTGTAAAACGAGCACAGAGTATCCACCTCGGGGCTTGGGTTGTGAAGACTGATCGAGGTAGCGGCGTAATGCCGAGGCCCAGTGAGTGTGAGCTACGACCCACGCTGATACCTCCAAGTGAGGCCATATGCGCCTCCCACCCCCCCCCCCCCCCCCCCCCCCCCCCCCCCCCCCCCCCCCCCCCCCCCCCCCCCCCCCCCCCCCCCCCCCCCCCCCCGCTCCGAATCTTGCTCCTCTTCCCATCAGCCTCCTGGTCCGGTTCCACATCAGGCCCGAGGAAAATGAGAAAGCCTCGCACGTTCTGGGCCTTTGGGGGAGCCTGTGAATAGCTGACTCCGTGAATGATGCCTCTGCAGGTGCCAGGGCCCGACGGCCCCACCCTCGCCCAGCGCCAGAGTGCTGCCTGCCAGACCCTTGTCAGCGGTTACAACCAGCAACTGCCTCCCGCTGCCCGAGTTTTATCAAAAGCCCAGTTGAGAGAAATAAAGTTCATGGGGGTTATTTAAAGGCCATGCATTCCATCCATTCTTCCAGATGAGACTTATCCCCGAAGCGAGTCGGGCTCTCATGAAGCTGTGTTGCTCTCGGACCACACGATTTAGCCACCACAAAATCTTGATTATGTCCCTCCCTTACGCTGGGGCTTTACGGAAAAGGGCTGGCGGAGTCCGGCTGTCGCGTTTATTTGGGGAGCCTGCTATTGCCAGGGTTGGCTGCCTCAATCAGCACTCTCTTTAAGACCTTTAAAGGGGAATATATTTTAGGCTCCAGTTCCCGGCAAAGCTCTGATTCCTCAGAGGAATCAGTGGGCTTCTGACCTATGGGCAGCATGACTCAGGAAACTGACCCCCGTTCTCATTTTCCTGGGGCTTCCAGGAAGCTCAGATTTGGGGTTCAGCTTTAAGAACCCTTGAAGATCCCTTGACCTGTTACACAAGGGAGATGATTTCTTTCCAGACACTGATTTCTAGCAGATGGGATTATAATAATAATAATTATTATCAGGGGTGCCTGGGTGGCTTAGTGGGTTAAGCGTCCGACTTTCGCTTAGGTCATGATCTCGCGGTTCGTGGGTTCGAGCCCCGCGTCGGGCTCTGTGCTGACTGCCAGCTCAGAGCCTGGAGCCTGTTTCAGAGTCTGTATCTCCCTCTCTCTCTGACCCTCCCCTGCTCAAGCTATCTCTCTCTCTCTCTCCTAGAAATAAATAAAAAAATAATAATTATTATTATCATTATTTTGTGTGTATCTTGTCAGCTGCACCTTGCATCTTGTATCTGGTGGGACCAGCGTGGGTGTTTCTATCCTGGAAAGCAAGGGACAGAGAATGGGCCAGGGTGGGGAAGAGAAGCAGGGAGGCCACGGAGGTGAGGGGTGGGGGAATCTGGCTTCACAGAACCAGACAGCGCGAAGAGACATTTTTCCATGAATTTCGGAAGAGAACTGCAGCCATTGCTCAATTTGAACTTCTCCATGTGGCCCCTCTGGCTTTTTGGGTATTTCTGTGGTATTGTGAAACACTGAAACTTGCAGCGTCTCCTTTCTCTTCCTCTTCGCTCCCCACCCTGGGCTCTCCCCCCACTCTTTTCCCTTTCCCTTCCTTGCCCCCTCCAGCGACCGCTGCCCTCTGTCCCTCTGTCCCTCTGTGGGGCTGCTGAGCCCGAGGCCACCGGCTGTGATGCTGGAGCACACAGAGGAGGGTGAGGACCCCAGGTCCCTGGAGGAAAGAGCGACGGCAGAGCAGAGAACAATAACTGAGCGCTCTACTCTGTGCCACGCACGGAGCCCGTAGCAACCAACTCCACCACCATTTATCAGGTCTGTGTTCCTGAGTGCTATGCACACTGGCCTCACTGGCCTGGTGAGGCCCCTTCATCTACCTGATTGTCCATCCATCTAGTCCGGGGCTTCTCAGCATCAGCACTATTGACGTTGGGGCTCAGGCACATCTTTGCTGGAGGGGGGGCTTGTTCTGTGCGTTGTAGGGTGTTTGCAGCATCTTTGGCCACGAGCCCCTCCCACCCCGTGACAATCAAAAAGGTCTCCAGACATTGCCAAATGTCCTTGGTGGAGGTGGAGGCGGGGGTCGGGGGCGGACTGTCCCCAGGCCGGGAACCGCCGTGCCATTCCCCCCCGTTCCTCACTGGCATCCCCCCCTTCCCCCCGACAGAAGCCTCTCTGGCATATAACCCGGGTATCCAGTTGATGTTTCTTTCTGCAGCCCTGTTCGCTGCCCGCTCACACGCTGCGCCCTGCTTTCTCCTGGGGCTGCCGTCGTCTCCCGACTGTGGCAGAGGGCGCTCCTCGTGCGTCCTAGGTATCGCCGCCCCCCCCCCCCCGGTTGGTGTGGGCGTGGGGGGCCCTCTCCCTTTCTGTCAGTCGTCACCCTGCAGGTGAGGACTCGCAGGTGCAGAGCTCACAACGCTAGTGGGCTAGAGACGGGACACAAGCCCAGGCCTCTGTCTCTGGAGCCCGGGCTCTTGACCCCTGGCCTTCAGCGATACCCCTTCCTTCCAAATATACCTCTGCAGGGAAGCAGACAAGATCGGGGGCGAGGCTCGGGGAGGGGAGGGGAGGGAGGCGGCTCACTTGAGGTCCTGCAGCACCACCTGGATGATTTTGAGGTGATGCCAAGTGTCCGGGGAGTCGGATTTAGCCTTTATTCGGGGCTGGGAATGGTTGAGTGATTCTGCTTAACCGTCTGATAGGTGCCTCTGGCTCTGGCTGGAGAGAGGGTGTGCGGGGCTCACAGAAGCAGAATGCACAAGTTTCTGGCCGTGGGCTTTCTGTCCCCAGGCCTCTATGGGCAGCGATGCCCTCCGTGCCCTGGGCGCTGGTGGAAGAGCACTTCTGACCAGGCCCAGCGGATGATTGATGAGGGGGAACAGGGGACACAATGGAGGGGCTTTGTTCCCGAAATGCCATTCACATGACTCTCTGACCTCAGGGCTCTTCCCCTTTCTCTTGTCTTTTTCTCCTTCAGTGCATTTGGCTCTGCTACGGTTTCTCTTCTCTGTTTTTCTTTTCTCACTCCACACAAAGCCCTCAGAGGGCTGGGGTGGCCCTGGGGCCTCCTGCATCTTGTTGAGGTTGGTTTCCAGTTCCTGGACTGTGGTCCTGGGGCCGTCTGCCCGGGGCATGCATGGGGAGGCCTCCATGGCCTGCTTGGGAGCAGACAGGCTTAGAGCTTCATCTTGGGTTTCTAGAAGCCTTGTCCACACTGGTTCTAAACTCTGACCGCTCAGTCAGAATTACCTGGGTTACTTTCCAAACAGATTGATAACCAGGCCCCAATACCGATTTTGTGGCTCTGGAGCGTGGCCCAGGGATGGACACGACATACAGTCTCCTCAGAGGATTCTGCCGTGTGGGCAGAGTGATGATGAGCGGCCCGCTGTTTTCCTGAGGGCCAAGGGTCACAGAGAGAACACAGAATGCGGTTTAGGAGAACGGGGTCCGGTCAGACAACCCTTGGCGCATCGTGTGTCCCTGGGCAAAGCCCCTTCCCTCTTGGGCAGGAGCACCCCATGGAGGAATGACAGCTTTGTGGAACTTTAGACTTGGAAGGGGCCCAGAAAACCAGCCAATCCATCCCTTCGTTCTAAGAACACGAGGACCATGCGTGTGTACATGTGTGTGGGGTGTGGCGGCGGATCGCCCAGGTCCCACAGGGCTCCGTAGGGTCAGGCATGCAGGCCAGGCTTCGGGCTGTCTCCTCCCACGGCCTCCACTCTGCGGGGCCCCTCAGGGAGTCCTCTCTAGATTAGACCATTGGGGAGATTGTGTCTCTGGGAGCGAGTACTGAGGGGTGTCCCCGCTGTTTACTGGGGTGGGGGGAGACTGACCTTCTAGATCCGGGAAGGGGGGAAGCAATGGCCGCAGCCACAGGGGGCCTGCTCCCAGCCTCGCTTTGCAAGAGAACTTTTTGCAGAGCTGCTGACTTTTTGCAGCTGTTTTACGGGGCCCGTGGACCGAAAGGGGAAGTTTGGCTGCATTTAGAAAGTTGTCCCCAAAGAGGAATGGTGGGGGTGGGGGTGAGGAGGGCGGCTGGGCTACATACAGCGTGGGAGGAGGAAGGTGGGCGATCTGGGAGCAATGCCAGCAGGGGCCCGAGGACAAGGGTTTGGTTCGGGCCCACGTGTTGTCACTTTGGGAGCTCTCGGGGTGGGGTGGGGATGGGGTGGGTGCCGGGGAAAAGTGGAGGGGACAGAAAAAGAAAGACAAGAAAAGGAGGGGGTGGGGGAGAATGAGTTCCCAGCCAGGGAGCCCAGCTTCTTCTTGGATTGGAAGCAAACACGGAGTGTGGCTGGGAGCGCGGCCAGTCCTCCCCAAAGACCCAGCGAGTGGGTTCCTTTAAAGGGGTGCAGGGAGGGGCGCCTGGGTGGCTCAGTCGGTTAAGCGTCCGACCTCGGCTCAGGTCATGATCTCACAGTTCGTGGCTTCGAGCCCCGCATCAGGCTCTGTGCTGACAGCTAGCTCAGAGCCCGGAGCCTGCTTCACATTCTGTATCTCCCTCTCTCTCTGACACTCTCCTGCTCACGCTGTCTCTCTCTCTCAGAAATAAATAAAAAACATTAAAAAAAAAAAAAGGGGGGGGTGCAGGGAGATGGTGAGAGGTGCCGAGACAGAAGGAGAATTTTTGTCAAGAGGGCCCGGTGCCAGGGTGGGGGATGTTAAATGAAGAGCTGGCCCCTCGCGCAAGGTGGGCACCTCAAGCTGTTCTGTCCCTAAGGCCAGAGATGCATCTACCCCTCCCTGGGCTGACCTGGGACTCAGGCCCCACGGTGCAGCAGGAAGAATACTGAAGGCCTGACTGAAGACGTTCGTGCCGCAGTTCTCTGTTCCTGCTAACAATCCCACTGGCCCGTGCCAAGCGCCCCGGCCCCAGGAACCAGGGAGAAAAATGCAGCTCCTGACGACCACCCTGCTCACTCTTCCTGCCCCCACCAAGCCCTCTGTTCTCTCTCAGACTCTGGCACCTGCGGGGCACTCCACTCTGCTGTCCCCATGCTGAGCCTTGTCATGGTGTGTACGTGAGGATGGAGTGACAGGGAGGGGGTGGGGGGGACTGCAACTTTGACCCAGAGTCCTCCATAGAAGGTCCTGTCCCCCGGAAGTGTGCTGAGCA